CCCGCACACGAGAGCTATCTCCTTACGCCAACAGTCACGAATGACATTTTGCTAAGCACATAGCTCTAGTGTGCGCCGGCCTTTATGTACAGGGCTCTCACAATCAAATTTAAGAATTCCTTAGATTTGCCTAAAAAATTCTCAAAATTTCCTCAGATTTCCGTAAAATTCCCTAGACAAACATAACATAGTAACATGAAGTATTTCCTTAATTTATACAAAAAATATTAAGAATAATGATGTGTTTAATGTTTTAAACATGAGCGGTTTCAATCTCACGTTTTATGACAGTATTGCTGCTAGCCTATACTAGTACACTCTTAAAACACTCTGGTTAAATTCAACCAGGAACTGGATCAATAAACTACCTAGCACATTCCTGGTTAAATTAACTGATTTCCTGGTTAAAAATTATTGATTCAACAAAAATCTGGCCATACTTCTTTGGACTTTTAACCAGGAAAATGGTTTAATTTTTTTAACCAGGATTGTGTAGGTGGATTTTTAACCCCATCCTGGTTGAATTAACCCAAATTTAACCAGAGTGTTTTTAGAGTGTATAGTCAATAACAGCAAAGTTAACTAAAGAGTAAAGTTACATTCCTTCACAGTTCATCCATCACTTAATTTTTTAAGGATTCTAAATTGATATTGTTATCATTGCGTAATGTAGAGTAAATAATTCATTTTGAACCTTGGCACTGCTATTTTGATACTAGAGTGATTAGTGAAATGACTGCAAGGTTTCGTTGGCATTAAAATATATATTATATAGCTCAAAACATGTGTCAGTGTATAACCTGTTTATTAGCACGTGGCGTACAGTACTCGCAAATCAAATTATATTGTGTATTCATGATAGTCATGAATCAGCTGAATGTTTGTCACTTATCATTTTCAACACAAGTTGAACCAAATGTGCACAAAACCAGGCAAAAACAATTGAAACATAAGTTCCATGTACTTCCATCTAGCTTGACCAATATTTCAAAAAATTCCCCAAAAATTTCCCCAAAAAATGCGATTCCCCAGATCGCTCCCCAAAAATCCGCCAATTTCCCCGTTTTGGGGAAATTTCCCCAAAAGTGAGAGCCCTGTTTATGTATAAATGTAGGAAGTTGATGAGGCGTGGTTAGCACCATATTATAACGTGGGAATAATACGCTCGATATAGTCCTAACAAACCTTAGCATTTATTACGACAAACCTACCAAATGTGCTCCGTTTGGGTTATCCGATCACGTGACCATTGAGACTAGACCAATTAAACGATCACAAGTTCAAGGAACATCAACAGCATCAATAAAAGTGAGAGACTTGAGACCTAGTTCTCGCTTTGCTGTAAGGAAATATATAGAGATGGTAGACATTCCCACCTTGCTCAACACAGGCCACTCATGTAAAGAAAAAACATCCTTATTCCAAACAATAATTAACAATGGGTTGGATTCAATTATTCCGCTACGTAATAAAACCGTCAGATTAAATGAACCTCCATGGATGAGAAAAACATTGAAAGGTCTAATAAGGAAACGACAAAAAGCCCTCAACAAGAAAAGTGCCACAGGAAAAATGTCGGGCAAAATATTACGAAAATAGCGTTCACCATTTAAAACGGTGTAAACCATCAGCATGGTGGAAAGAGGTTAAGAAGCTTATTGGAATGAATGTAATCGAGGGAACCTCAGATGAAATTGCGAAAGCTTCAAGACCAGGAGATGACCCTTCTAGCTCAGATAAAAGAGATTTAGCCAACGAGATTAATAATGCCTTTTTGGCCCCCATGGCTAGATATGCGCCGTTATCTTCAGTACCTCGTCAACATTTCAACCAACCTGCACAAAGTGATACAGTAATTACTGTAACATCGAATGCTGTTTTTCAAAATCTTCTCAAACTTAGTCCCAAAAAAGCTCATGGTCCGGAAGGCATACCGTTGTGGCCCCCAAACGAAAACGCAGATCTATTAGCTGGCCCGATAGCGGCCATTTTGAACTGTTAATATCGGGAATGTACCCTACCGCCAGTTTGGAAGAAGGCGGACGTAGTTTCAATACCGAAAGAAAAGCCCATCCAGGATATCAATCGTCAGTTACGCTCTCTTCAATACCTTAGATTCTTGCACTTCACTTGGTGGAATTAATATTAGGATGTTAGGGTTTGTAATCCAAGTGAGAATATATACATTTTAAGACCTAACCAGGAACGACTGCGAAAAATGCAGCACAAGGTCCTTGTGCTGCATTTTTCGCAGTCGTTCCTGGTTAGGTCTTAAAATGTATATATTCTCACTTGGATTACAAACCCTAACATCCTAATTTCAATACAGAGGGCCTGATACTCAGGTTAGATTACAGAAGGCCCAGTGTAAGATTAGCGTTGCTAAACTGGTTTTTGTATAATTGCACCTTCTTTAAATAAAGTTTATTATTATTATTATTATTATTATTAGTCGTATTTTGACGGATAAACTCACAATTATTGTATTTTATTATCGTCTTTGGCTGGGATTGTATTTTGATACAATATTTGAACAGGATTCGTAGTCTCCAAGGCCAAACAAATTCAAAGACTTTCAAAGATTTTTTCTGCCTATTTTCAAAGACTTTTCAAAGACCTTTGAGAGCAATCAGCTGTCGAGCACCATCGGCTATAAGCACCATTTTTACTCCGCGGTAATTAGTCCCGTCAAATCACATCTTAAAATGCGTCTTTTCGTCGATATGCAAAAATCTTGCTTCAATCAATTTATTTTATTAGCTAGGAAATCGTATAATCAAATACTCACTAAAGAATTTAAAGACTTTTAAAGACTTTCTTCGCTTTTTCACACAATTCAAAGACTTTTTAAAGACCTTAAAGACCTGCATTCAAATTTAAAGACTTTCAAGGATTTCAAAGACCGCTACGAACCCTGTTAAATAGTGATTTGGTTTTCGCCGGAGTGGCAATAAACAATACAACCAAGATATAACTGTTCTATAATGCATGTCATATTCTTGTTGGTAGAAGTTGGCAACCAAGGTAAATTATAAAACAATCTTTTAATGGTGACCTTGTAACTTGTTTACATGATATGTCTATACTGACAGTCGAAAAGTTATGTGCCTGACAGTAGAAAAGTTATGCGCCTGTGGAGGTTCCGTTGAACTTAGCCTTCAGCATATATAGCCTATATAAGCGTAAACAATTTGGAAGTATAGAAGAAACAGAATAGCATGTTAAAATCTTACCAGTTTAAAGCTTTCAACTGTCTTGGTGACCTAATGGCCTTAATTCAACCTGACTCGTTCTTTCGTTGTTGTTGCACCAACAAAAATACATTACTTCATAAAGAGTGAGTCCAGAGTACAACACAACATGAAAAACACAGTACAATTCGGTGAAAATTTAGCGAAATTGCCAGAAATATTATTTGCCCACACATCACGCAACCGCCATTTTGAAACTGAACTATATACAGTAGGTCACTGAAGCATACTTACAAAATCACCCATAATATCCATAAAATACACTGATATACCTGTGAATGTTAATTTTGTGACACCAGAAGACAGAAAAATAGCATTTTAAAACTCCCTCGGGCTACGCCCGACGGAGCAATAATTGTATTAATTGGTCACAAGAAAGCTTCGGTTGATAGGAAAGCAACTACCTAAAAAATATAAGGATTAAGTTTTCCTTGTATTTTTCAGGTAGCCTCATCCCTGTATCAATCCGACCCGCACAAACTCACCAAGATTGTAGTTGGTAATAGCTGTGCTGATTAAAGAAAATTCTGATGTCTTTAACCAATGAGATCACGTACTGTAGGTTAATTAGATCACAATATTTGAACCGGTTCCTTAATCCAAAAAAGGAAAATTCACAGGTTTAACTTTGGCTACACCTACATCATGCCCAATTGTTTGTGGAAAGCGAGGTAATAATATAAGTGCGTGCGGAAATTCAATTTATTCCCAATACTCTAAGAAAATTCCCCATCAACCCCTTTTCAATGTTGACATGAGTGTGGATAACTCATCATTGTGTCATGTCCACGTCAAATAAAATAGTACAAAATGTAACGTTGATAGGGGGAGGTGGATTTTTAAATTATGAGATGGTACCTGTCGTTCCACAACAATTGGCCATGAATGTAGGCCTAGGTCAGGTATCAATCACAGTTTGTTTACACTAAACACCAAACACCAAACAAAAAGAAAGTTTCCCCTAAATATATCATCATAAGTTCTAAATAAACGATTACCTTATAATCAAACCTAGCACTAATTAGACCTGAATGTTGTGTGAAGAATGGGGTCATTCATTCTTTAAAGAATGACTTAGCCTCCATTGAATACAAAAATACTCAATTTCAAAATTAACAAGAATGACTTTATTTAAATTTCACAACGGCAGTAATGTTTCATCAATGATTTAATAATGGGTGTAACCACCTGTATGCACGCTTCTCGATCACCTCACGGTATCGTCTCACCCGCTATTGAGACATGGACTTCCATTCCTCCTGCAACAATTGAGCCAAGTCAGCCAGAGTGCTGTATTCTTCGAACCGACGACAGACAGATCGCTTTTGCTGGTCCCAAAGACGCTCAATTGGGTTGAGATCTGGCGAATTCCCAGACCACATCATTCTCTTTCTGAGGAGATGACGTTATCAAGGAGTGTGGTCAGTTACACCCATTATTAAATCATTGATGAAACAATTTAAATAAAGTCATTCTTGTTAATTTTGAAATTGGGCATTTTTGTATTCAGTGGAAGTCATTCTTTAAAGCACAAATGACCCCATTCTTCAAACTACTATAGATCTAATTCGTGCTGAGGTGTGATTATCAGGTAATCATTTATTTAGAACTTATGATAAATATACTTAGGGGGGAACTTCCTTTTGTGCGGTGTTTAGAAAGATGCACACTAGGCCCATGACTTGCCAAGCCTTGTAGTGTAATCATGGTTTTATACACCCCCATAAATGACAGTTGAGAAGTTCAAACATTCACTTGCGACAGTAATCATGTCAACATATTTTCGCATAAGAATTATGCATAAGATCAGTTTCTAAAAGCCCTTGAATGCTCGCCGATTTACTAAGTAAACACTGCATGTGTAACCAACCTGTAAATAATAATGACTTCATTACACCTGGAAAAATCTACAGTACAGTAGTTGTGCGTTAATTTAAGCAAAAAAAAGCTATATGTTCAGCAACAAGAGTGGCAACATGTTGCCAATGTAAATCCGGCTTAATAGCACCCCAGTATTTCGCTACTGCATAAAGGAAATAAAAAATATTGTTGCACCAGTTCAATAGTTTCATGCATGAACTACATTACAAAAACCTTTAGCACTCCCGGCTATCTACAGTAAAGAGAAGTACTGTAGTATTCTGTACACTAGTTCAATTAATATTTATCAATCTGCAAGAACACCACATTTCTTCAATGGAAGTTTCATTCTATTTGGTTTCAAGAGACTCTATCCATAAAATCAATATTACATAATTCTTGTATGTTGTTCCATATCAATAATAACAATATCCTACTTTTGTCTTGCTCTCTTTCTGTCAAGTAGTGTTTCTAAATACCATTTCTTTAACCGGTCTCCATCTCACAGTAGTTTACATAAATGATTTGAGGCTCATTACTTTTGGAACTACATAATTAATGGAAGATAAAAAACTATTAAAACTAGTTAATAACTGCAAATTGTGCAATGTTTTAGGCACATTTGAATAGGCATGCATGTGGAATATATATATATATATATATATATATATATATATATATATATATATATATATATATATATATATATATATATATATATATATATATATATATACAGTATATACTGTTTTTTATATCTTGTTATATTTTTTACCTCTTGGTCATCCATTCAGTACAGTAGGTACTACAAAAAATTGTACCCATTCCCTTCCCTCCCCATGCATGTAAAGAATATATTAAATGAGTTCATTTAAATAATAGACATATGCAAAGATCCATACATACTAAATGGATGACCCCTAGAAATACACCTTTAATGGGTGTTGGAGTGGCTGTGTGAGAATTTTATACTTGGCTGCTTTCAACATTGAACTGTGGGAGAGATTGGGTTTTGATATGCTTTCTAGTTATGTTGCATGTTTTCTATTGTTACAGCATTTTTTTGTGTCATGTTTTTATTGATGCATGGTGTGCGATTTGCTTTGGAATTGACATCCAACGTTGCTTGGATAGCATGGGAAAATGAAGAACCTGGGAACCTACAGTAGTTCCCAGAATTTTTTTTGAGTTGAGAGTTTCGCAGAAAATTTTCCAGAAAATATTTCAACATTTTGAGATAGCTCTGTTTACTCAACTTACAAGTTACAACTATTCTACTTTATTTACACTGTACACGCTAACATTAGCAGCCTTTTAAATATTTGACAGAAATTAATTCTTTTACCCACCCCTGCCATCAAAATGAGGTAAAATGGTAAATATATGCTCTGCAAAGTCTCCAATAAAATGCAAATCAAATAGTAAACAAATAAAAGTGATGGAACAAATAAGATGATAGGACACTTGGTTAAGCGTTAGATCCTTACTAAGTTACTAGTTGGTCATAACTCATAACTGTGGTATATAACAGACAACTATTGCGATGTACGAGCATACGAAAACCAGCCTAAAGCCTATTATTACTAAAGTACAAATAATACAATAATTATGCATTTGTTTTGTTATTTTTGTAATTGTAACATTGCAAATTTTGCAGAAAATTTCTAGCCTTCGACCCAGGTTCCCAGAAAGAAAAGATTTTCCACCCCTGGGTGTCAAAGAAAAAACAATAAAACATCCCACACTACTTGATCAGTTTAGATAAAATTTAATCTGTATGCATCTATCACTAAAAATGCAAAGAGCACTGGAGATCACAATTTTCAAGGCATACTGTAGCATGCTTACATTTTGCTAAGATTTTTTGTTTGCTCAGAAAATTTCCAGTCAGAATATTGCTAGTTTTCTCAGCTTTCTTGCTTTCATAAATGATCTTAGATGGCTTTACAATAACTAGATGATGTAGCAGATCTTGCCGACTGAAACAACTTGTGCTGACAGAGGTAGTGTATTAACAATATTGGATGGACTGACCTTGGAATTCAGGTCAGCAATAGGCAAATACCAACCTAGGTCAGCAATTTTTGCCAACCAATAAGTGCTTTTCTGATATGATTTGAGAGCAAAATATTCTTGCCTTTGCATTGCCTAATTTTTAAACAATAAATGCATTTCAATGACAATGAAATGGGTGACAAAGTTCAAGTTGCCATGAAAAATGGGCCAGAATTAAAACATTGGATGTTAAACCGTTACCCCGCCAACCCTTTGGATGTCCTAATACACTACAGGCTTTTAGCTAGGGTCTGAAGCAGGCGTCCAATTTTGAAATATGATACATCTACAGTAAGGGGGGGGGTTGAGAAAATTAACATTCCTCTGGAAAACCTTTGAATTTATGTTACTTCATGTCAGTATCTGTTCCAAGCTCATCTGAAATTTCAAACACACTTGGCTTTGTGAGTTTGTGCCGCTACACTTCTTTACTTAACTACGACATTTTCATTCAGCCAGGTAAACCATCAAATTGTCAAATGCATAATAATAATGAGAATTGAAGCTATTTTGTTTCAGATATATTATACTTAGGGAAACCATTGAAAATAATTTCCCTTTTCCCCCAGAATTTGGGTGTCCAAAGGCATCCATTTTTTGTTCTAAGGACGTCCCAGGATGCCCTTCTGGCTAAAAGCCAGACACTAACTATTATCAGAAACAAAATTTTTCTCCTCTCCCTAGGCAGTTGCAATATTGAAAAAAATCGATATATCGATATCGAAAAAAAATATCGACTATATCGAATTATGCAAATGAGAAAACGTAATTTAGTCAACTTGCATGTTTTCACATCACAAACAGCTAAAAAGAAGTGCATGAAACCAGTCATGGTACATCCCAAAGATTTATTCGTTTATGAAAGTTTAAAGATATATTTACAAGCCTAATCATTTCACAGTACGATTGTTTACTGTATTAACAAATAGTGAGTTTGAATGAGCTGTGTTATTTTGATACCTTGTTTTTAAACCTGCGTCGATATGTGTCATAAACATTATTATACAAATTATTGCGAATTCCATGTTTATCACAAAACTATTGTTTTCAAGCATTCAATGCCGCTGCTTGGTGATCTTCAGCATTCACAGTGGTGGGTTCAGAAAAAAACGTTTGGTGTCCCAATTCGAATATGGACATGCCCCCTTAAGAAATGTCAGTAATATTACTACAGGAACAATTAGTTTAAAATGCTAATTTGCTCACCTATTCCCGACCTACTTTTGTTTCAAGTTTGCCGACCCGATTTTTTGACTAATGCTAAGGCACAAATACAGACATTACAGAAGGCTGGCTTTTTGCTTTTGCAAATGTATGATTTTGGCATAACTCAAACTGTTGCAATGCTGTCGTCATGTTCCCAGCCAGTGCACTTACGAGAGGCATTCACCCCCCTGAAACTATTCAAAAGGATGGACGTTCAGGGGATGGGGGGCTTGAATGCCTCTCGCAAGCACATTTGCTAGGAACATAGCGTGGTTGTTATGGTTTTTTGGCTGAGTCAGCCTTCTTTAAGATTCTATTCTGTGTCCAAGGTCTGCTGGCAACCCCAACAGCCCACCCACCACCTCAGACAGTCCTTTTACTATGGCTCTGTACCTCTGCCTACAGGTCAAGAATTTTGTACTACACTACACGTATATATACCGACTAAATACAATGCGGAGATCGAAACATTTTAATACAAAGCGTACGTTGACGTACCCAGTTTGAGCAGTAACACATAGCCAACAAAGAAATATACGGAATGCCACACATTTTGCCTTGCCAATTTCTTTTCTTCTGTCACATTTGCAGATTTTGAACTTTCTCCCGTTCCTGGCATGCGATACATAATGCTTTTCACAGTAAATCAAAGACTTTTGTAATTTTTTAAGTCTTTCTCAATAGTCGTTCTTGATTTGAAGTTGAAACTTGAAATATTTGGATTTTGGAAACAACCTATATGCACGCAATACTTTATGTAAGCATCGTTAATAATAGAACAAACTGATCTTCATATAGAACTGAATCCAGTTCGGTGGCACCTCGCGCCGGCAACGCAACGCCCAAACGCCGTGTCAAATTTCACGGCGGGAGAGATGGACTAGTAATTCGAATTCCGTGGACTAGTTAACACCTTCGTTCACCATACTTACCAATCTCGTTCCCTGAGCCTGCGATCCTCGGGAAGGAACGCGAGGCTCTGGGATAATCCGTTGCCGGAAGCCAGGAATTCTGGCTAAGATTGAACTACGCATTCCATTTCAACGGCCAATCAGATTCCTCCCTGAAACGGATTATCCCAGAGCCTCGCGTTCCTTCCCGAGGATCGCAGGCTCGGGGAACGAGATTGCATACTTACCCGTTTGGATTTTGAGGTGATCGAGGGGTGGCCTGGGACGACTACTGGCATTACTGTTACTTGGACTCGGGTTAAGATCCATGCCAGTAGTATCTTGAGCAGACTACCCCCGCAGGGCCAACACCTTCATACCAATTAACAATTGGTGGAAATATAAAGAACAGGAGAGAAAAAAAACTTTGTTCCTGATACGTTTTCTACGCTTCCAACGCACAATGATTACTAACATAGGCGTACGCGGCGGGGGGGCGGGGGGGGCGGTAGCCCCCCCCAGTTTTTTGGGCAGTTGGGCAATATCCCAGTTTTTTGGGCAATATTCGATCAACAGTCGGGCAATTTTGGTTTGCAAATGGGACAAATTCTGTCAATTTTGTCTAAAATTAAGTAAATTTTTTGATTTTTGGAAAATTTGTGTTATGTTCCGAAAAATATTGGTTGTCCGGAAAATTTTTTTGACCCCTAAAATGGTATACTGACCGAAATTTTTTTGGCGACGGGGTGGGGGGAGGTCGCCAAAATAATTTTTCCGGAAAAAATTTCTGGACATTTTTTGGGCAATGTGGAATTTTTTGGGCAAAAAAGCTACCGCCCCCCCAGAATTTAGCGGCCCCGTACGCCTATGACTAATACCACCAATGCGCGGCCAAGCCCTTATTACACACTCGCCCGGCCCCCTTTTTGGTCACATGATGTGCTGACGTAACGAGGCTTGGTTCCCTAGCTCTTAACCTTTGTTATTGCCTAACTTCATTATACATAGTCGAATGCCGTGGACTAGTAAAAGATATGGTTCGCGAAATCAGTTCATTGCTAAAAGCCCTAAAACGTTACAAAATCACACACCCGTTTAATTAAACACATATTAGGATCGCTAGACAGTTTATTGACAACATAATAATTTTGTTTCTATCGATCACATCACAGTGATCAAAATTTTAAATTACTTGTGTCGAAAATTAAGAGCGCTAAATATTGGCAAGATTAGGCTCGATTTGTAAAACTCTGGCTTTGCATTTGTCTTATCAGACGAGAGAAAAATCACACGTGTAACCATTAAAATCGATGTCGGGGTGAAAGCGGGATATCTTCATCTAGTAGGGCGGATAGGCGCGCAATTTCGCAATAATTGTGCAGTTAGTTAAGAAAGCACCATATTGACAGTATGTGTAAACTTTGACACAAGTATGAATAATTATCAGATATGGAGGCATCTGTGGAATTAACGTTGGCTTTTGAATTTCTGACATTTTAATATAAATATAGAACTTTTAAAAGTCCTCAGAAAAAATAAGTTGTAGGGTTGAAACGTACGCAAAAAAACTATCTTTAGAACATTAAAGCAGTTTTTTGATTTGCCAAGTCGTTTTTAAGTTAATCAGTTTCGAAATCGCACAAAATAGATTTAAAAACTAAATAGGTGCAAAGTCTGGCACTATCTCCAAATCGCCTTTTTTTAACAGGTTGCAGCTCAGGAAATATTTGGAAAATCAAAAAACTGCCTTAATTAATGTTCAAAAGACTTTTTTGTCTACTTTTCAGCCATAGAACTCATTTTTTGCATGTGAAGTACTTCAGAATTTTAAGCCTTCGAGCAGTAATAGAAATTTATAATAAATTGTCAGAAATTCCAATTTTTTTACTATATTAGCGTTAATTTCACAGATGCCTCCATATCTGATGTTCATACTTGTGTCAAAGTCTACACATTCTGTCAATATGGTACTTTCTTCACGAAATGCACAATACTTTCACTTATCCGCCCCACTAACCTAAACGTTCAATATTCCAACCTACTGTACAATCATCATCAGCGTATATACTCGAGAGGTGGAAATTGCTTTACGCGCAATTTAATTGCTCAGCTCAGGATCTCCTTGCACTACCTCTTCGAATTGATCCTGATGAATTGAACACCCACTTTGCTTCTACTACTGAACGTGTCACTGGCGCAATACCCAAGCCAACTCAAAACTTGTGGTCTTTCATTAATATCCGTACCTTACAAGATGATTCAACTAATGCATTCCACCTTCGAGAAGTTTGTTATCAAGAAGTTTTGAATGAAATTAAGTTTTGCTCGTGTGTTCCTGATGGTATTCCTGTCAAATACATCAAAATGACAGCCGAGCAGCTTGCATCACCTCTGACACATATTATCAATAACTGCATATCGAGCAGCTATTTCCCTCACCTTGGAAGATCGCTCGTATCAGTGCCATTCCAAAAGTTCAGAATATATAATCGAATAACGATCTCCGTCCTATTTCCATTCTCCCAAGCCTATCCAAATTCTTTGAACGGCTCGTTCTTCGCCAAATGTCTGATTTCGTAACCATGCAATACAATCACTGCATGGAGTACTTAATTAATCAATCCATTAGTGTTTTCCGCGCGCAAAGGTCACAACTCACAACACGTCAACACTGCGACAGTTATGTTGGCAATGCGAGATGATATTCAGCAAGCTATGAAAAGAGGTGCACGAAGTAGCCTGCGTGGCAGGCCCTCAACCCTATGGGGGGCCTGATTTGCAGCGGGCAGGATTTTGCCAAAATCCTGCCCGCTGCAAATCAGGCCCCCCATAAAATTGAGGGCTTGCCACGCAGGCTATGCACGAAGTAACGATAGCTGCCGGTTCTCGCAGATTTCTCGAAAGCGTTCGATACTGTGTCGTATTCTACCATCTCCGGTTCTCTTCAACTTCAACCTATATGTCAATGATCTCTCTGAAAACCTTGACAACTCTATAACTTCATGATCACATCAGTATGCCAATGACACTACCATCTATGCACATTGTAAGCCAACTGATATAAAGTCATGTGAAGAGAAAATTCAATCCAATCTAGATAAACTTTCCACCTGGTCTAGTTCTAATAACCTTCTTCTTAACCCCAATAAAACAAAAGTCATGCTTTTCTCGACTAGTCAACTCTCACGTGTGCACTAACTTGATGAAGACCGTTCTGTTGATCTTCATGCTAATGGAATTGAACTTAAAAGAACTAAATGTGCGGCTCTTCTTGAAAGTGTGCGGCAAAAAGTGGTCAAAAACGGTGAAAATTTACACTTGATACTATCTGCCGCCATGTTGATTTTTCCTTCCCTCGTTTCCAGGCTCTGCTCTTGTTTTGTTAATTGCACTGCAGTAATTGCACAATGAGCCAATCATCACTTTTTCATATATATGCTGAAAGCGCAAGCAGAAAGATGTTGTCTGCCGCGGCTGGGTCGAGAACATTTTCTACTTATCATATTACGGAGTGATATATATATATATATATATATATATATATATATATATATATATATATATATATATATATATATATATATATATATATATATATTGTTAATGCAAAGCTTACTTCCCTTGTGGTTTTTTGAGCACTCTGGCCCCATTACACTCTGCGCATGTCTGGATGCGTTGATGTCATCGTGTTGTGCCAGATGCCTTGGTGAAAGCAAGTTCATGCGATTAAATACGAATGTCTCACGTATCTAGACGTGTACCACGCAAGCTGCACTGACGAGGCGTAGAACGCCGAAACATGCATGCCTGCAGATTGTATATACTATTACGCTCCTTCACTTCGCGTTGTTGTTGAGCACTCTGCGGAGTTGTTTATGGGTGCCTATTAGCGATAATGCAAAGCTCACTTACCTTGTGGTTGTTTGAGCACTCTGGCCTCATTACACTCTGCGCATGTCTGGATGCGTTGATATCATCGTGTTGTACCACATGCCTTGGTGAGAGCAAGTTCATGCGGGATAAATACGAATGTCTCACGTATCTAGACGTGTACCA